ACTAATTACTGTTGACAAACTTATCAATACTGCCACTGGATTGGTAAAACTTTTGTAATTTATTAAAATTTGCCATACATAACGTAGAGTATAGCCATATATGAGGATCTGATTGAAAGGTGATGGCGAGCCACCTAGCAAGATTGACTGACAGATTTCAGTCTGCACCAAAGATGGAACTGAACACATAACACTAGTTACTGACTAGTGTCCAACCAACAAAAAAATCCTATTCAGTCCTAAAGGAGGTCAATCACGAGCCCGAATAGCTCAGTGGTAACGTCTCCAACTGCAGTAATGGATGATGTGGGTTTCGAATCTCAGAAGGGACATGAGTTCTTTCAAGGTTGCAGGTACACTTTGCTGACTGTAGAATGGCAACTAGCACGACATCCAGGTCCAAGACTTCCTGCTGATTGTCTCCAACCATGAAATACCAAAAATTCACAGTGCACCATGATGGCCACATTGCAAACGTTACTGATAGAATTCAGTCTGTACCGCGGTTAGGACTAGACACATTACACTAGTTACTGGCTAGTGTCCACATGTCTCATAGTGTGCCTTCTCTCCAACCCATACTCACCCCACCCTCCAATGACTCGCTGACCTACACCCGTCTATGTTTCAGTAACCTAGACATGTTGTAAGTGAGCATTACACATTCCTTGATACATGTGGTTTCTGAGTTTCCTTAAGGTGGCTAGACAATATCAAACTTTTTTCGATTTGAATAAATAGACATGGTATTTTCAGGTATCTTAGACTAATTCACTGTCCCATATTCTTCATATTTCGTTTAATTCAAGGGGAATTTCATTATAATTTGATATCAGGAAATCTGTTGAATGAATTGTTCGAATAGGGTTGTGGAACATCTCAAAGAGAGGAGAATGCATACCGAATTGACATTTTGTATACTGTCGAAATGTGAAGACTCTCTGATTTCACTGAAAGTAGTTTACCCTCTGGCCACAGTGAGTGAGATAAGTGAAGATCAGGAGAAACACGAATTCCCTTCTAGTCTGCAGATACGCCTTGTTAACGAGCTCCCACAAACATGAAACTTAGGTCGAAGGCTTCCTACTGGTTGGCTGCAACTATCTAATATCAATTCAAGGTGTACTGCGGTGACGAGCCACCTAGTTCAGTTACCCTATTGCAAACTTGACTGATAAAATTCAGACTGAACCAAAGCGAGGACTAAACACATTACACTAGTTACTGACTTTAGGCCAATCAAAAAAATATCCAATACAATCCTACCTACAGGAGGTCAGTCGCGAACCCGAATTACTCAATGGCAACGTCTCTGACTGCGACAATATTTGATGTGGTTCCGAATCAAAGGGAGAACATGAGTTCCTTCAAGATTGTAGATATGCCTTACTGGTTGTTTTGAATGCCAGCAAGCCCAAAACTCAGGTTCGTCGCTAACTGCCTATTGCCTCCAACTATCTAATATCAACCAGCTAAAAGTCTTAAACTTCACTCGGTTGCTACTTTCTGTTTCGTTAATGTAGGTGTGTAACTTGGGCACTGGGATAGAATGTAATTAAATAAGTTCATTTTAAATATCACGTGGTAATCCAGTACTGATAACTGGATGACAAGGTTTCGAGCATAAATTATTGTACATAGTCATATCAGTTTAGTCACACAGTTTCACAGTCTGTCTCATATACATATTTTCTCTCTTTCTGTCTCTTCAACTTCCCTTTGTTGTTTGTTGTCACTCTCCATATCTTCGGTGTAAGCGTTGAGTCATTTTGATCGCACGTGTGCGGTGTTGAATCTATAAACAAAGTTCCAGTGAAAAAAGGAAGACGTCCGGCGAAGAGACTTTTTGGCGAATTCATTCACATAGCTGTACGATCGCATTTATATGTAATTGTTTGTGTGTGTGTGTGTGTACATGAGGTTTGTCAAGTTTAGATAATTGATCAGGTAATACAAGAATGATCTAATATAGAAACAAGTTTAATTAGACAGCAACTAAAGTAACATTGAGTTAGTAAGTTAGATGACGTAAGCTTCAATGACTAACCTTTCTCTGTCTCCATCTAACTATATTACTTTTTAATACTTCCACCCTGTCCCACACACCTCATTTTGTTATTACATTCAAGTGAATACAATGCAATGGTTGAGCTTTTATCTGGGTTACTTAACTAAGCAGGGTCAATTATTGTAGGTCCAGCTAAATTTTTATGTACCAATAATCTAATTCAATTCGATCTACTAGTTTGACCTGTGTAATTCTCAACTGGGTCTGTTGGGTCCTTAAGCCGACAAAGTTTATCTGTGATAAAGTTGCCTGGTGGATTGGTTTCAATGCCACACCGACTAATTCAAGCCTCATTGAGAGTCATACGTAAGACCTCTGATCTTCCTTCTTTACATGGCGGTACTAAAGAAGCTTTGAGTTCTATATTGTTTTAGCCATTTTTATTGCTAATCTGAGTTTTTCTATGGTTCTTCATATATTTCTGAATAAATTCTGGTGGGTAGTTAGTGATTCACTAGTAATGCTTCCTTGATATGATTATGAGCAATAAATTGTGCTCCAAACGTCATCAGTAAATATTACTGTATAACACTGTGAGACTCTATCAAAATAAAATTTACCCATAATGGAATTACACTCTACCACAGTGCCCAAGTTTTATTCTTATATCAATGATAATGCTTCCTTTCCTATTTGTTTGATTTCGTTATTTAAATCTTCTGGTTTACTAGTCAGGCTCTTGGCCAAATTATACAGACATTTAGCTAAACCTATCTTTACCACCGATTGTAGATGGGATGAATTAAAGGCTCAGTTTTTATTAAAGTGTTTCAGATTGCAAACATATGCAGAATTCTCAGAAAATGAATTATCTCTAAGAGCATGCGTATATGTGTGATACACGCGACATCAACTGTAATCATTATAGATTTTACTTCAGAAATAAAGTTTTCGCCTATTTATAGTTCCTTTTTGTTTTGTTCTGTTTGGAGTTGTTCTTTTATTGTTTACCCAACACCTCACAGGTGTGTAACCACTAGGAACCACTGATTTACTTTATTATTATATACATTCTTTGAAGACTATTGGAAGGCGACTGTGAAATTTAGTAATCACTTGGAAGTATAGATACCGGGGGTGGGGGTGGATGCTGGTGAGATTCAAACTGAAGGTTCACTTGTTGAAGACTAAATTCCAAAAGCAATAAGCTACGTGTTTATAAACACCATAGGCAATGTATTTTACAGTACCGTGTGCTTTGCTCTTCATCCTTCTTTTATTATATGAGACATAGTGGTCTTTAAAACTAGAATTGTCTCCATGCTATCTTTCGTGTTTAATGGTATAGTATCGTAAGCAGTATTTAAGTTAGACTTAAAGTGTCAGACAAAGAGGGAGAGTCAATCGACGAAGTTATAAAGCTGCATTTGTGGTGACAGCTGGCTGCAACCCAAAATTGTGGACAACAATGTTCACTTCCCGAATCAGGGTCATGATACGAAACAATAACAAAGCTTAACCTTGAGAAAATCTCCAGTCAGTCACGGCGGAGTTAACGTGTGGAAATATGATTCGCAGATATATGACTTGATTTTCTGAGAAACGGTGACAAAGAGATAACAGAATAACCTTCAGCAAGAAAACAACCAATCAGAAGAGGTTGCTTCTCAGCTGACAATAATGTACATAAAAACCTATAAATACCTCTTAATTTTCCCAATAAACAATCTGTTGCCTGGCCCTTGTCTCCTCTCGTTACACATTGATTGAGGAGATAAGTGATCAAATCAAAACATAGTTTCATTCTATGAATTTTTTGGTTGTTGGTTTCAGCCACTTGGTAAGGGGGGTGGCGGGTGATTAAACACTCTAGCTACGGGGTCCTCAAGACTTGTGATTGTCAGTGACATTGCTTAAAATGCGCTTCTCAATGGTATGGCACAGATGCATCCCGCAGATGTATCAAATTCTCATTATTCTCTAATGTATTTCGTGTTCCTCTTGCACATTTCCATTCATTCTAGTTACTTGAATTGTTTTCATCTCTGTCCTTGTGTACTTTTCTGAAGTGTAACAGTTTGAACTGGTTTACTTTAGTAATTAGGTTTCTCTTTTTCAGAAAGGATTGAAACTCTTGAAACCAAGTTATCTAACTGAACCTAACCCCCTCACCCACCCCACTGGACACAATGTGGATATGCTTTATCCTTTCACTGTATGCGAAAATATGCACTAGCATTGTATGTATTCCTTTATTATTGGCTCATTTTGAATTTTAATTGGTGGATGGTGACTAGCAGTGGAATCCAGGATGCGCATTTCGTCCAATTTGGGACTCGTCATCTGGATGTACCTGTATTCTCCAGGGAGTGATGATGTTCCCACCGAGGCTCGAGCTTAGTGCTCATAGTTTCCAACGCCAAAGCGTTATCCACTAGACCACTTTGGCCACGAGAGCCACCTCTTTTGCAACAGGTCATATTAATTTAATTGAATTTTAGATTTTCCCGTCGATTGATTGGACCGAAGTGCTCGGTCTCAGGTTGAATTTGTTGAATTTATGTCCAAACTGAAATATACACATGTTCCTTCGAAATTAATTATTTATTCTAATATTCTTCTGCGTCGGTGGCACAAAGGTAGAGCGCTCACCGACCACGAAGGTGGTCCGGGGTTCTATCCCCGGCCACCGACTCACTCCTTTACCTCGCTAAGCCAGTAATAAGACTGGTAAAGAGGGAAGGTTGAGCATTAGGCTGGCTAGCAACCCCATCCTGTAAAAATAATCACTATTGCTACCGAAACTTCAAGCCTCTAGCTTGAAGGTATCCTATTTTCCACTGGGTAAGTAAAGGAATAAAAAAAAATTCTAATGGTATTTATTATGCAATCAAATAATTTTGTTGAATTGATATTATTTATTATTATTATCACATTGTTTTTTTGGTCTAATTTCTTCCCTTCGTTACTTTCTTTCTTCTAATCTGTCTAGGGTGTTTATCCAGCACGTCTAAGAAAAGTGATTATTATTGAACCACCATTTTGGTTTCGTGCACCATTCAATGTACTTCGATTATTTGTTCGTGAAAAAATGCGTGATCGGGTAGGTGAATTTCTTCTCTGATTGGTTGTTTGTCTGTCGTTGTTGAATCATCAGTTCTCCTGATAATCAGCAGCGTAATATAAAGTACTTTTCTCTGTAGTAAAGTGTTCAACCCCCTCTAACATCTTCCAATTTCAAGTTAGCTCAGGAAATGTTGTCAGCTGCGCATAATTATGTAACACAGGGAGTACAGGACAGCTGTTTCATCCGGGTCTGAGAATCTTCATTCAGTACCTAATCACAGTTGTACACTGGGGGTGTGAGGGGACATTTATTTGCCCGATGACATTGCTTAGCAGCGACACTATATTTCCCTAATTATCACCAGTGAATTCTATCTCAACGGCTGGTCTTGTAACCTGGAGATCTTGACCTCAGTTGCCTGGGTGGGCTTGGGTGTCATATATATATATATATATATATACATATATAGCCAGTCGCTAGTAAGCATTAGGTCAATATCGATTTGTAGGGATTTGATTGGTCACTGGTCTGATCACCAGCTGACTGAAATCAGTTAGGGAGAACCATTGGAAAACTATTTGTTGTCACCATCATCGCAAACCAGCAAAAGTGACCATTTTTTTTGGGGGGGGGGAAGTTGAAATCCTTTCTATGTAGCTAGCTAGCTATCTAGCAAACACTACCACTAGTTGACCCAACTACTCACATATAAATCCATCTGTAGTATATATACCATCGTTATCGCCTTCTCTCTCCTCCTCCTCCTCCTGATTTCTTTTCATCAAAAGTCAATAAATTCCACTTTACTGTTCATTATTATTCACTTCATGTTTTTTTCTCTTTCACACATAACAAATAAATCACACATTTATGCGTGTGTGTGTGTGTTTGTGTTTCCCTTGACAACGTCCTTGAGCATCATTCAAACAACACAGGGAAATTATAAAATCATTGGAATATATATAAGCTTGTATCCAATTTAATCTAATCTAATCCAATAGAAATCTTATTTTTTTTATTGTCTTGTTCAAAACACACATGTCTAGTAATAATGATTAGGGGATGAAGAGAAATAGGTGTCTTGGATGTGATATATATATATATATATATATATATATATATATGAGCGGGAGAAATTTGAAGGAGGTCACTTATCTAGGTAGTATGTTTCCAACAGCAGGCGACAACACAAATGAGGATGTGAAAACCACAATCGGAAAAGTAAGGCAGACCTTTTAATCACTCTGAAATCGGTTCGGAAATTTACTGCACGCTCTGCAGTATAAGAAACAAAATTCGTATTTTCAATACTAATGAGAAGTCACTCACTTCTTCTATATACATATGGGTCAGAAACTTGACTCCTCGCGTCACGAAAAGCATTTTCAACAGGCTACTGTGGAGTTTCATTAACAGCTGTTTTCGCTCAATACTCCTCAAGATCAGATAGCCGTCCAGCAAAGGTCATCAACAGTGATCTCTGGGAGCGACCCAACTCAGCAGGAACCAATTGTGCATCAAGTATGCAGGAAGAAATGGAGATGGAATAGGAGTACTCTGAGAAAGCCATCAAGTGACATCATACGCCAGACCACCGCTTGAGTGGAACCCGAATGGGAAACGGCGAGTTGGTGGTCAGTGCGAGGGTGACATGGAGGAGGAGATGGTGTGAAGAGGAGATGAAAGCATGTATACAGACTTGGAGCCAGGTGAAAACTCTAGCAGAGAACCGAACGCAATGAAGACGTGCAGCCGACGCCCTATGTTCCTCTAGGAATTAAAAGAAATAATAATAATCATATTGAAGATCGAATGGCCGGCGGGCCAGAAAGAATTGGCAACAAGAAACTCTGGGAACAAGCCAACCAATAATCGATTGCCCAAAAAATATGTAGATGAAAGTGGAGATGGACCAGATACACTCTGTGGAGACCGTCAAATGACATAGCGTGCTAGACCATCACTCGAGTGGAAGCCGAGTTTGGTGTGGGCCAGCAGAGAGTAGGACGTTAGTGGATATGTTCTAAGTTCCAATGAGAATCCTAGAGAACAATAATCTAATATACTATTTAACAACTGATTATGCGATTAATGGATATTACAATACAAATTTTTCGTCTCTGTTTAACTTGAAAAGAAGCGAGAACAACAAATTAGTTAGCAGGTCGGTAGTCTGATATCTTTGCATTTTGTAAACTACTGCATACATCACAATTATCATATGTTAATTTAACAAAATAACTCATATACTTCAATTAATTACCCTGAAAAGATAACGACCGTGAATAATTACATAATTTAATATACAGCCATTTGAAAAAAAATCTTATTTGTAGGCGTACACAGAAAAGTTACAAGACTATTCTAGCTAGCGTCAGGTGTGTGCAAGTTGGTCATCATTAGTAGTCTCTGTGTTACGTAAGACTAATAAAATTTGATGATTCAAAGTGATTCAAAATAACCTGGGACTACTGGACAGCCAGCTGTTTCACCAGCCTAGTTTGGGACTCGCCAACAGTGCGTACTCACCCCACTGCCAGGGTTCGAACCGTGGACCTTCTGGTTACAAGGCTAGCGAGCTCGTAGACCGTTAAGCCACTGGGACCCGATTAAATGGCTAGTCCATGAATTCTAACTTCTGTCAATTCACAACATAGCGCGACCACTCAGCAGAAGTTAGAATTCATGGACTGGCCATTGGACCGGGTCCCAGAGGCTTAATGGTCTACGAACTCAGAGGCCTTGTAACCAGAAAGTCCACGGTTCGAACCCTGGCAGTGGGGTGGGTGCATACTGTTGAAGAGTCTCAAACTAGGCTAATAAAACAGCTGTCCAGTACTCCCTGCAGGTTTTCCAATGGTCCTCTAACCGATATCAACTCATGATGAAATCCTGTAACCAATCAATCAAATACATACAAACCAATACTTGATTCAAAATAAACTGATTACTAATGCTGATGATTACGACAGTAATAATATTGGCTTCATTCCAAACAGTACAGCACATTTGATACAATATGGAATTTTCAGCATGAATTGCGATATTCCATCGAATTTTCTCCTTTTGGTGTAGTTATGTTCTATGAGCTGCATGATTTATTTGCGAAGCTTTTACTGCCCTACTAGGTAACATCTTCACCACACACTTCAATTCGAAGAAGTGAGCTTTGAAATTTCTCCACGAGTTTATAAGTCATCTCCCCTGATGACCTTGAAAGTGATTGGTTGTTTTTTAGTGTGTTTTCACACCCTCTAGTCTACTTGTATTGGTATTGGTGTTAATTGTTTCCTTGACCTGAAGTTTAACTTTTTGTGCATGTGATTTTCCTCTTATGGATTAGTAAATTTTGTCTATATCAAGGTGCCTATTGATTGACGATTCATTTGAATACCAGTGTTGCAAGATTTCTCCAGCGTTTTTGGTGTTTCCTCTGCGTAATATTTGAACTTTATCCCAATCGAATTGATGTCCATAGTTGTCTGTATACAGAGATATGAGGTAGTGGATATTGTGTCTTTTGACGGCTAGTTTATGATCATGGATACGAAGACGAAGAGGGAGGCCGTCTACTTTGGGCAGTGTAGTGTTTTTGTCGCAATCGGTGTAATTTATTTTATAGATGATGTTGGTTTTATCTACTCTGGGCGTTGATGCAGAGCTGAATGAAGTTATTTTGTTGTTGTGTGTGTGCGACACCAATTCCTAAAGGTTTGAAGAGTCTTGCAGTGAACTCTGAGACGTCCCCTATATATAGTAAGATGATTTTCTTTGTGTTTTCCTTGGGAGCCTTTGATTTGATTGGTTGTCATGGGAATAGATGCCTTTTGGTGAAGTTTCGTAGATATCCATTCTTTTGGGAGACGTCCATGAGATATTTTCCTTCAATTTTCCTTAAATCTTGGAATATACCCATCGGGACATTGGAGAGAAAACAACAAGAAGTTCAGTCAAGACAACTATCTATTCGGCAATTTCATTCTCAAAAGCAGCTGTACAATCGCATTTATATACAAAAGTTATTATTATTTATTATTATTATTTCCTTTAGTTCCTAGAGGAACATAGGGCTTCAGCCATGCGTCTCCATTGCGTTCGGTTCTCAAAGTTGACATATTATTATTATAGTTTCCTTTAATTCCTAGAGGAACATAGGGATTCAGCCGCACGTCTCTATTGCGTTCGGTTCCTCGCCAACGTTTTCACCTGACTCCACGTCTGTTCACATGCTTTCATCTCCTCCTCACATCACCTCCTCCATGTTACCCTTCCACTGATGACCAACTCGCCGTTTCCCATTCGGGTTCCACTCGAGCAATGGCCTGAGATGTAATGTCACTTCATGGCATTCTCAGAGTATTGCCAATCCACCTTCATTTCTTCTTGCATATTTGTTGCACAATGGGTCCCTGGTAAGTTGGTTCGCTCCCAGAGATCCGTGTTGATGATGTTTTCTGGCCGGCCATCTTATCTTGAGTGGTGTTGAGCGAAGACAACTGTTAATGAAAGTCTGTAGTTTGTTCGAAGTGCTATTCGTGACGAGCCAAGTCTCTGATCCGTATAGTAAGTAGCATTGACTTCACGTTGGAGTTGAAAATCCGGATCTTGTTTTTCATGCTGAGTAGTGCTGTTGATCTCCACACATACTTGAGAGAAATGAAAGCTTGTCTTGCTTTCCCGAAACTCGCTATGATATCCTCATCAGTTTCGTTCGCCTATATAGTTGAAACGATGTTTCCCAGGAGGTTGCTTCTTTCAGATTTCTCCCACTTATACTGATTGTTGTCTGCTGTTGGCCAGGTATCTTCATCACTTACCTCTGTTTTCTCTATGTTCACCTGAAGTCCTATCTTAGATAAAATTATTATTTAATTTCACATAGTAACGAAGGTGATTAAGGGTCATAATAATTTTCAACTTGACTTTTAAGTTTGAAGGTGTGAACATAGATTCATTACAAGGAGTTTAAAGACAAGACTAAATAGGATTGGAAAATAGTTACAATGTATGTAAAATTAATATTTTGACAGCTGGAG